ACATTGGTTAAAAGCCCGTTTGTGTCGATTTTATGTACTGACGCCTAGTTAGAAAGGATGTACAGTCTAATCTTCGTGATAGCGCAGGAAAAGTCAACGGATGTCTTTACAATATAAAACAAACGGAGTCGGTTTCCTTTGATAAGTGGCGACATCACCTGTAGCGCTGTACGGGGGATTAGGCTTTGATATCATGTGAATAGAACTTAGGCGAATGTACGAGTCATAAGCGTAGCCAGGGATTTCCAAAGTGGGGAAGGTGGGAGGGGTAAAGTTAGACCGTAACTGCTAGTGGGTACGGGCTAGGCTGACATGGGAAAACTACGGCCCGCGGGCCAAATCCGGCTCGTTGGGTAATTTATTCTGGCCCGCCCGATGCTGCCACAACCAAACTAAAACCAAATTTTGCTGTTTTAGCAAAAAATAGCTCAAGTAATTTGTAGGGATTTCGATTAAATTTAGTTTCAGCACGAGGCTTATTGTTTTATGTTTTTGCTTTTATAACACTGTAAAATTGTTCATGAAATTTAACTTTTTACACCACACTTACCGCCAGTTTAGGTAGGCAAATTTTTTGGCTCCTGGTACATATACCCTGCCCACCCCCTGGCTAGGGTCTTAGGGGTCTAAAAAACGCCCTGGTGCAGGTCTATGCCTTAGAGCAGTGGTTCTAAGGTTTTCATGATTCTTCGGCAGCTTCCATAGGCTTCGAAAACTCCGTGTACCCTCGATTAAAAAAAATCTTATTTATCTTTTCACATTTCGTTTCCTAGCAAATATTTCGAGTATAAGTATGTAAATCTATTTCAACTCCATGGCTTCGACTTTCGTGTCGTTTAAGATCTGTATAAATGAGTAAAAATGTTATTTCAATGTGTACACGCTTACAGGTTTCCGAGCGACCGCAATCAAAAATCGGAGACTGTTAAATTTAACCCGTCACACTTTCCTGTAACGTATGATAAGTCTTCGATATCGTGCGATTAGAGTAAACATATCGCTATGAAATATCAATCGATGCCTAATCGTTTCCGCAGAAGAAAGCGTTCGCAGACGGATTAATTAAATAAACAACGTTAATTCGACTGCAGTGACTTTCGATTAAACGTAACCAGACTCAAAGTTACACCCGTAGTGTGTATACCAGGTTAGGCCATAATTTCATTCCGATTTTCCTTATTTTAGTTCTATTACGAGTTCGAGGACTGTATGTGTTAGCCAAGTGAATAGCCCATAGGTTTCAGCTCCTTCACACAACTTGATGTGAAGTAGGCGAACAAAATTTGATACCTCCACATTGGTACGCATACTTCTGGAGCGCTGACCCAAACATATAGGACATAGCGTAAAGAGAGCGCACCGATTTCAGGAAGGCTAGCAAAGCTTAAAATAACTTCTAAGTTGTGACTAAAATGAATGTTTTTGAGCGCAAGTTATACAAAATACATGTTGCATTATATCGTGTAAGAGGTTAGTAGGATCGCTACCATATCGAATAGAGTACGACTCGAAAGGCCAACAGTACTTAAAAATAAGTTTTTTGCTTGACTAAAATGGGTCCTAATGCAGATGGGATTCTATAGAAATAGCATCTTCTAATTTTTCGATACTTATGGACCGTAATTCAGATTTTGAGAGAGATTTTGTTTTTTCCACACTTTCCTTCCATTTCGGACACTTTCACATTTTCTTGTAATGTGTGACAAGTCTGTGATATCGTGCGATTAGAGTAAACATATCGCTATGAAATATCAAACGGTGCCGAATCGTTTCCGCAGAAGAAAGCGTTCGCAGACGTATTAATTAAATAAACAAAGTTAATTCGACTGCAGTAACTTTCGATTAAAAGCGAGTGACTGATACTAGACTTAAGCATACTACAGTGAAGTCGTTTTCAACCAGGTTTCCGCGGAACATTAGGGTATTATTAAACTTGCTACATTTTAAAACATAGGGATTCAACGAGTCTCTGAAATGTTTTGTTAAGGTTCCGCGTCCCCAGAAAGGATATAAAGAGCGAGTTGTTGGTAAGACACCATCGCGTCTCTTCGCATCTATAAATTAGATTTATACACTTTCAGAGTCAGGGTGGATATAGGGGTAAACGTTTAGAGCAAGCATGTGAAGTGGGTGTTATGGCAAATTTAGTGTATCCGTGATATGTTATGGATTAGGATAGATATACAACGTAAGGCGAATACATAGGATAAGCGTTGAAAACACAATTGGCATGACAAAATTAGGGCTTTAGCGAGCAAGGCATTAACGCTAAAACAATCACGATGTAACCACTTTTGTGGCCGACTGCAAACTTCAGTTTCAGGGAGTAGTCTTAAATAAAAATAATAGAGTTCAGGCTTTGATATATTAGGATAATAAGCGCCATAATACTTTTTATAGGCGCCCACTATTTTTACAATTATATTTATCAACACGAGCCTCACGTCGAGAGTTGAAAACTAAAATTACTATCGTCGACCTTTCGAACTTAAACTGGGTTATTGACCTGGGTGATAACAATCAAAACACAAATCACCCACCGCAGACAGGGTTCGCTTACAGTTTCTTAAAGATGATTCTGTCGTCATAGTCGCGTTCTGTCACACTTGGCTGAACATACAACACTTATGTTGCGTCTGACTAAATATACGCCTGATAGCGTGAATAGGAAAACGTCATTTTTGCGTGGTATTCAGAAGGAATCGGTGATGATAATTTCTCGTTAGTATTATACTTTCCAAAATTTTTTCATTCGGCGTTTCGTGTGAGCCAGATGGAATCAGCGTTTTTGACGGCGTTATTTTGTGAGATGGAATAAGTTGAATAACTTGAATGAATAATAAAGCAGGATTTGACAAATACAAATTATATTTTAGTTGAGTTAGCGAAAATACTCAGTTATACCTCCACCAATGTTTAGAATTTTTTTTATTTTTTGTTTTTATAGCAGGTTAGTTTAAGTTAGGCAAGGGCAGTCGTTCTCAAACGATAGGGAGCGCCGCACAAAGAATTAAAAATGAAAATATTTGTCAGATTTGATCTTGCCCACCTTATTTTGGATATTTACATTTCCTAATTCTCCTAAAAGTCCATCCATAATAAGTGAAATATTCGTTTTCTAAGACTTTAAAAACACAATCTCGCCGCTTCACTATTGCCTAAAATGCGTTTCATTAAGATCTCTCTTTGTTGACGAAATCTCCCCAATACCTAATCGCCCTATTAGTAAAAAATGCTTAAAACGCTGATTCAGAATCAATCAATCATTTTTGGTATTTAGAAGTCGATATCTCTTCTTCGTCATGCCATACATGGCCCGATCATAAAGTGTGAATCAATAGCACATTTTATCAATGTATCAGACTTGATAGATTGGGATTTGAGACTGATAGGAAAGACTGCCTAATTGGGATCAGTGCTTATAATTGTAATACGTTTGCCTATTATGCAGATGGTAATCCTTATTGACAAGAAAGGTATTAGCTAAGACAGACAGATCTTTGAAATCGCATTGTGCTGTTAGGGCGCTCCATTGCTAATTTTTTGAAATGTTCTGTTAATTTCTGTATATCTATTTTGGGATCAGATTAGATTAGAATAGGTTTTGAGCAATACAATATTAACAGAGCAGGGGGGCATAGCAAAAACCTAATATTGGCTTGTTTTACTACAGTGGTACTTACTACCCAACCTTTATATTTCGTGACCCCATTTCGTAGCTTTTTAGAACTCATTTTATCATTCCAGTGATATTTATAGTGTTATTTTGATTGGTAGATTCCAAATCTCATTATATTTAAACAATTCATGCTCAACAAAGTGAAAACGCCCTGTAAAATTACCGGACCAAGATGGCGCACACCTGATCATAGTATGCGTACCAGGGCAGGGTTCCGGTTGTGCGCCATCTTGGTGCACATACTTCGGCCGCGACAAATTAACTTATCAAGCAACGAAACGATAGTTTATTGGGTATTATAGGCGTAGATAGTATTGCGTTTGTTTCTTTTTATGTTACGTTTCACATTTTCTCTTCGAAAAAGGCTCTTGGTAAGGTGCCACTGACAGGTAGTGAATGGTATGTATCAGACATATTCATAATACAACTAGTTATCAGTTATGCCTGCTTTGCTTCGACCCAAAGTATTGGACCGAGCCATATCCCACCCCTTCGTCATCGGAGGGTATTATACGTCACATTCTTTCGCGGTGAGGTCATAATTGTAATAGTTACGTCACTTTTCAAAATATCTTTTCAACTCCAGGATATCTCAGTTACGTCACTTTTCAAAATATCTTTTCAACTCCAGGATATCTCCTAATTACCGAGTACAACATATATGCAATACCACCAGAGGAGGTCTCACTTCACATATGACATCATTATTGTAATAATTACGTCACTTTGTTTATATTATACGTCACCTTGCTTTGTTATATCGTCATTATTGTAATAATTCGTCACTTTTTAAACATCTTCATGATTCTAGAATATCCCCTCATTTTTAAGTACATATATTCAGCCCTTTCCGCTTTGAGTGAGAATCGATCGCGATAATCCGTTTCGGAAGAAGATTTCATATGGGAACATTTTAATCCCTTCGGAACACTAATTTAAAATGTGTGGAATCGTTTGCAGAATTATCGATTTTCTATTAATTAGACAAACACGGCAGACAGGAATTATTATTCTGCCTAATTAAATTGACAGATTACTTCTCTCAGATTTATCAATATAATACTGTAGTAAAATTATAGCAAGTTTCTAGCATTTTGCTTTAAATAGACTAAAAATGGGCTTACATGTTGGCAATCACGAGTTACGCGAGACAAACTCCCAATCCTTTCTCAATGCCTTTTCGCTAGTGGAAACGTATGCGTATAATGCGAGGATGATGTGGCATAAATAAACAAACATGACCGTACTATGCAATTCAAGCAGCAGGACTCCATCTATGTTCGTTATATTAATTTATTATTTCTGATTTCTAGATATACAAATACTAATTTATGAATAGCAAATCAAAAATTATTATCGTTAAGTCTTTGACAATAGCCTGACACACTGAGTGGATATACTGAACATCTACAGTGAATATAGCGATGTCGAAACCGGCTTTGGTTGTTGTATTTGTCCTTGGAGCGGTGCTGGCCAGCGTAATGGCAGTTGAAGTGAACTTGGTGGACACAAGAAAAGCGACTACCGATTTAAATTGGGATACTTCTCCGTCCGATGGAACTGGGGTGAGTTTAAGAAATATTTTGTACTGTAATCTTTAGAGCTTGCCTTAAGCCTTGTTTTGAGTAATTGCTGATTTTCTAGACAAATAACAATTTCTTTATGGCTAGGCTGTTGGTTGAACACGTAAGTGCGTTATGTATAAGTAAAGGTCAGTGTGAGTTTCCCCCATAGCGAAGTTGGAAATGTACGAAAGTATAAGCTGTGAGTCCTTAAAGTTCTAGTAATTCCCAGAAAATAGTGCTTCATACGGAGTGCCATTGCTCCGCGAGCCATTTGTTTACTTATTAAAATAGTGACTTGGCTAATTTTGTAACTAATCGAAGAAGCAAAAAATAGGAAAGTCATTAATTAAATAAGTCATTAAAATTTATGTAGTAATGGCGGACGATCCGTGCATTATCCTCGATATTTGGGCGTTGCACAATCAAAAATGTCGGGAACCTGAACGATTTATATGTTTATGTCATTGATTAATTATCTGTTTGCGGACATAATTTTTATTAAAAAATTCCTCTCAAATTCTTAGCATTAAGAATATAAAAATAATCAGAGCCCAAAATATTCAAAATCCCGCGAAAATTTACCCGTGTGGTCTCCTCAAATATTTGTCTCATAAATTTTGTGTTTAATGTATGTTTACTATGAGCGATATACAACATAATTCACTCGAGATGAAACACAACGCGAGGCGTGAAGAAAAATAAGATCGTTAATTTTTACGGCGTTGTAAAATGGGTATTGGTATAGGTCAGGTTCTCACAAACTGGGGTCCTAGGATCTTTGGGGGCCGTGGCGACTACACAGGGGGTTGTCAACGATATGAAAAGTCTAATTGATCTTTAATGATTAATTTCGATCAAAAGCCATTGTAACCGTCCGTCATTGGGTCCGTGAAAACTAAGATTTACAAACAAGGGTCAGCTGGCCCGAAAAGTTTGGGACACTGGTTTAGTTAACAAGAGAGCGGTGATCAAATATATGGACAATTGGACAACTCAATTCACTTGAGATTAAAAACAACGGGAAGCGTGAAGAAGAATAAGATCGTTAATTTTTATGGCGCTGTAAATTGGTTTAGTTAACAAGAGAGCGATACTGAAATATAGGATATGATTCACATATTTATCCCGGGGGAGAGGAAAGCCGACAACACGGCTTATTCATATGGCGAACCACGGCCTCTCGTCCGGTTACCAGTTCATGTCGGGTATGGGATTAGTTAGCCAGTTATTTGTTTTCGGAAGCACGGACTTGACTATATGGAAACGAAAGCCAAAAAGTTTGGGACACTCTGGTTTAGAGTATATGTGTCGCTACATCAACATTCAATCGTTGACAAACGCTTTATAAATTAAATTTTAGAATAATACATCAATCAATCATTCTACACGAGACGTGAAGATAAATAACCCAATTAATTTTTACGGCGCTGTGGAATTGGTATTGGTTTTGTTAACAAGAGAGCGATACTGAAATATAGGCTAGGATTCACGTTTTTATCCCGGGGGAGAGGAAAGCCGATTACACGACCTAATCATATGGCGAACCACGGCCTCTCTTTCAGTTACCAGTTCATGTCGGGTAGGGGATCAGTTAGTCAGTTTTTAGTTTTCGGAAGCACGGACTTGACAATATGGAAACGAAAGCCAAAAAGTACCGCAAACTTCACAACTAATGCAAACACGTAACTTCTGCAAGATGCGCAAATTCTAATGACGTCATTGCACACAAAAATAAATTAACGCCTTCTAGCGGAAATAGAATCTTTAACCATAGAAAATTTCAAAGCAATTGGTTCAGTAGTTAATAAAAAGGCGATTTTTTGATAAAATAACAACAAGAACAAGAACTTTGAAAATGCATTGAAAGTTACATATTATGACCATATTTTTGTCTCGAGTGCTCAAAATACATATCATCGCTATCATTAGACTGTACGATATCTATTATTAATGTACCAAGTAGCGAAAAAGACTTTCACTCGACGTTATCCGGCAGAAAATGCTTCCGGAAGATTAAAATATATTAGATATTACGATGAAGCGATTACTATCGGGCGTTTCCACGCCATCGCTTTGAACATGCACCGCTGACCGCTAGGGTCGTAATGGTAGCTAGGATTTTTTTTAAACAGTGGGTGGGGGGTCTGATTTTGTAATTGCCAGGTTGGACCGTGCGCCGGAAAAGTTAAATGGTAACAGCTATCGGCTGAAAAACGTGGTTTCAAGAGTTTTCAGGGTCTAAAACGTTTCAAGCTACGGAGAACTGCTATGATACAGAAAAATGCGTTTTTACCAATCCAAAAAGGGGCGGGGCGGGGGTTCAACCCCTGGTACTAGTTTTTTAATGTAAACAATAGAGCAATAACGTTAAGCACTGCCCTGATCCATATACCTTAGGTGCACTATAGCTTAATAAGGCACACTGTCGATTTTGAAAGAAGGGAGGATTTAAAGTGCGCCTTTATGTCAGTAAAATACGATATTCAAACTTGTGCAAAATGTTTGTTAGTCGAAAAAAATTACTCAGACCGTTCGCCAAATTTGTCGAATGCTGATAGAAAATTGTTTCATCCGGATACAGTATTAACTTTTTGTTGCCTTTTTTATGGCGGTCAAACTGTTATTATTCTTCCAAATATATCGCCTAGATCACGTACATAAATAAATCATCCACACTTCATAGGCTTCGTCTTTCAGCGCTTTGTCGAAATTCGCCTCTGCGTATTCTGGCAGCAAAATGACGAAGTGTCATATAGTACAATAAATACATAATTTGAAAATACCTGGACAGCAGCAAAGTCGGATCTCCCCTAGCGTGTGTACCAGGTTAGGGTTAGGTCATAATTTTATTCCGAATACCTCATTTTTGTTCTATTACGAGTTCGGGGACTCTCTGTGTTAGCCAAGTAAATATACCCCACGAACATAAGTTTCCGTCCCTTTACACAACTCGATGTAAAGTAGGCGAACAAAACCTTAGTTACCTCTATATTGGTACACATACTTCTGGAGCGCCCCAAATTTTAATGTTACCGTCACTCAAGCTTCAGTAACTCTATTTTTGATGAAATGCCCAAATACGTGCTTGAAGTATTTGTCACTACATCAACATTACAAGTGTTGACAAACGCTTTATAAATTGAATTTGATAATAATACGTCAATCAATCATTCCATCGGTCATCTGTTGGTCACCATTGAACCGTGACTTCTTGATATTCTGTAAATAAATACAAATAGATGACTATCAGAGCGTGACCTTGTGATATTCTGTAAACAAATAACAATAAATGGCACCAGAGCGTGACCCCATGATATTCTGTAACTCTTGTTTACATTATTATGTCGTAACAATAAGGACCCAAAATCCGGGATTTGTAACCTATTCAATTCAGTATCCCTGAGAAATAGTTCACAACAAAACAAAACAATGAAAGTTTCTTATCGGGTTGACATATTTTGGATTGTTAAAGGCATCTAACATAGCCAATGATGTAGGCTTTATCAACGCTTCGATAACATATAATGGACCTGCCAGTCCCGAATTAACATAAACAGTTTTGTTTTTAGGAAAAAAAGTTGATGACGTCGTAGTATAACGTCACACATTTAAAAAACTTTTTCTGAAACTTAACGTGGCAAAGTTAAACCGTAAGAGCTGGCGGGTCCGGATGGGTCTTGAAGGTCTAAAAAGCGTTTCAAGTTAGGAAAAAGTGGCTATTTATGAACAAAATTTTTTTTTGTTCATTTCAAAATGAGAGGTTGGCTTCTGACTCGCACCCCTCCCCCTGCGTGCGCCCCTGGCAAGAGCACAGATTTACTTCTCCTGTCCATTAGTCGACCATACTTGACGAGAAATTTCATTCCCAAATGTCAGAAGAGCTTGAAAGATAAATCAAATCCAATCATTACTTACAATGTATAATGTCAAATTTGTTTTTCCTATTAATTTTCTGCATGACCGACATACGGAATTCATTCCAAATGTAATACTTTAATTTTGAACGGTCTTTGAACATGAAAAAACATTGCTCCTATACGAAGTTTGTTTTGTAAACATTTGGGCGGATAATTAGATTTAAAAATACGCATTTGAGCTATTCAATCTCAATTCATTTGAACAAGGCCTCATAAACTTTTAAACTAGCGATCTCTTTCAAAATATTAAAATTTTCCGCGACCCCTGTTCACATTCAAAATGGTAAACAGTTCGAAATATGCAAGCGCGCGTTTCGAATCAAAAGTCTGAAAAAGCATAATATATATATGGTGCTCCCGAAGGTGACCGTACATTTGAACCCATGTACATTTGAACCCATGCGTATATCCACGGGTTCGATCTATATGCGGGTGCTAAAACCCATGGGTTAGGGTTAGTATGGGTTTAACTATCCGTGAAACAAAAAAAAATCCATAGGTGCAATAGCATACAGGTGCAATTGTCATGGGTTCAAATGTACGTGGGTTCAAATGTAATGTAACCGCTCCCGAAGTATGCGAACCAAGATGGCGGACATCGGAACGTAACATGGGTAACAGGTTAGGGTTAGGCGATAATTTTTTTCTAATTTCCCTTACTTTAGTTCTATTATCAGTTCGAAGACTAGCCAAGAGCCTCCCGTAGTATTTATAGCTAAAATTATGGCCTAACCCTAACCTAGTACACATATTACATTCCGATGTCCGCCATCTTGGTTCGCATACTTCGGGAGCCCCATATATAGTATAGTACTAGATATAATATCCTGTCAAACGCGCCCCCCCCTCCCCCTGCGCAGTCGCGACCTCCAGTTTTAGAAGCCTTGTTTTAGAATATAACCATTCATGGGCAATGCCGAGCTTTCGTCAGATTAGGATTCCTCTTTGCAAGAACGGTAGCCATTAAAATATCGTATTTACACAATTATTCAGTGCCCTGTTCGAGGGAAATCCCTCGATAGGCGTTTTGGCTGAAAACACATTGTTGATGGTATATGCTCCTCTCCAACCCCCCCTAAAAAACGGAGCCCAAGTCAATATTTGTACTGAATTCAACCGATTACCCAAATTTTACAGGAATTTATTTAGTTTTACTGAACAATGAAATAAAATTTAATGGAATTTATTTTTTCATTCACAGTGGAACGAGTTAAGCAACACAGATGAGAACCAAGTTCCTCTTCGAACGTTTCAAGTTTGCGGGATTCGAACACCCGGACAGAATAACTGGTTTAAAACGAATTATATTGAATTAAAAGAAGGCGCGAAGAATGTATATGTGGAAATTAAGTTTACTATAAGGTAAAGCATTTGTATTTAGACTCCAGGTTAGCGACCAGTGCTCGGTTAAAAGAACTATGCCATGACTTTGCTGCGCTCGAATCAAGGCCTTTAATATTTGTTTACACTCACTGCACTTGCATATTGGTCCACCGCCACAGTGTTTTTTACCCCAAGTAATACCTCCAAGGTGCATTAAAACGGTTAGGAACCACTGTCCGCTGTATACCGGGTTTAATCTCAGATCTCAATTTCCGACATATTTTTCTGAACAACTCCAGTGAAACTACCACTAATACAATATTTCCTCCCCAAAACAACTGCTAGAGGAGAAACAAGGACTTCCATTCACGTCTTATCTTGAACGTTGTCGATCGTTGTCATACAAAGCTTATACGCTCATTTGAATCTTACACCAATGTCTCTATTTTCAGATCATGTCACGACATCTCGAACGTCGCCACATGCAAAGAAACTTTCAATCTATTCTACCTTGAAGCAAACTCGCCTTATTCTGGAAGCGATCAATATATGAATGAAAGAGTTTATAAGAAAGTATGTTTGCGCTAATTGAGTAATTATTGCCTGCAGAGGGTTGACTTACAAAAAAGAATTTTTGATACTCCCGAAGTATGTGTACCAGATCGGAGTTAGGCCTTAATTTTATTCCGATTTCCTTGTTTTAGTTCTATTACGAGATCGGGGACTGTCAGCCAAGTGAATATCCCCCTGTCCATAGGTTTGAGTCCCTTTACACAAATTGATGTAGCATAAGCGAACAAAATAAGTTACCTCCATATTGATACTCATACTTCAGGGGCGCCAAATCTTTTATATTAATCTGAGTCTTTGAGAATTTGAAATAGCACGTATGTGTCCTATAACAGGAATACTCAACTATATTTACCGAAGATCCGTTCAGTGTAATTAAATCACTGGGGTCTGGTCTTTCTAAAGTTATATTTATAATGAACTTAGGTAAAACTGAAATTATAAGAGGTGTAGGTTATTAGTTGTTTTTCTTTGTTCAATTTTATAAAATAACAGACAAAAACGCGTTAAATCACGGACCACAATTGTTGAGAATCTTTGGAGGCCCACCGATCATGAGAGTTAGTTCACTGGTCTAATCTGTTGGAAATTATTTCAGGTCGATACGATTGCAGCCGACGAGCGATATCCCATCCGATCTCACGTTACGAATACAAAAACGATCAAGATCAGCGATATTCAAACTAACGGACTATATGTAGCATTCCAGGTAAGAGTTATTTGTTTCTTTTTTCGGTTAGTTGAGTGGTGGAGAGGGGGCTTGACTCGACCCGAGTTATTATTTATCAAGGAATTGAAATCAAGGGCGTAGCCATGGGGGCTTTATTCAAAAAGATCATGTTTGTGTATCATACATAGTATTTTTTTGCTTGAAATGAAGTTTTAGAGTCTCAACATACTTGGGATGATTCCTCGTTTTCCAGGCTCTGGCGCTAGCTGTTACAGTCGAACTTTGCAATTGGAAATTTCAGAACGCGCGTGAAACTTCCTGACTAGGCCTCGGAATTCTCAATGGGAACATCTTAAAATTTCAACTTTTATTTTTGTTTCAGGACACTGGAGCTTGCATGCTTATTTACTACGTTCGAGTCTACTACAAAAAATGCGACGAAGCTATCATGAATCTTGCGAAATTCCCTAGCACCGTCACCGGACCTCGGATTACGTCACTAATCAAGGTTACAGGAAAATGTGTTACTAACTCGATATGGTCGGATAGTTATGAAGGTAGGTGTACTGTTGGCTTAATTTTTTGGACTCTTGGCTTAATTTTTCGGACTTTTTTGGCTAAATTTTTTGAACTTTTGGCTTCATTTTTTACATTTTTGTTTTGGACTTTTGGCTTAAATTATCAGAGTCTTGGCTTAATTTATTAGACTTTTTGCTTAGTTTTTTTATATACAAGTCTCTTTACAATTTCAATTTTTTTATAAAGTATGTTTTCAATATATTTTAACCAGGTTTGTTGTTTTTTAATAAGCAATTGTTCAAGTATTTTCACTTAATTCAATACATATGAAAAACATATGAAATGGGAAAAACAATGCAATAGCATTCATGAAAATGCGTCACAAGGGCGCACTTACATGACGCAATAGCAATAATGCAATTCTAAGTTTTAATTCAGATACTAGTTATCGCTTGGGTTTTGGAATATCAGTTTATGCTCAAATAATCACAGAATAATATTTTTAATGTTATAATACTCTAATATCAACGGTCCATGCTGAGGTTACTACCGAGGCTTGTAATATATGCCATCTTGGTTGTGAATCGCATCGCCGCATTGGAAATGTGTTTTCGAAATTCAATAAAAAATATTTTATGATAAATGAACTTTGGCTGTAATAATATTTCAAAACGGTCCTGAGAGACACAGACTCTGAATCATACAATAATAATATGGTTGATTATTGCATACAATACTATTGAAAAATTGGGGCTCCCGAAGTATGCGAACCAAGATGGCGGACATCGGAATGTAATATGTGTACTAGGTTAGGGTTAGGCCATAATTTTAGGTATAAATACAAATGTATTATTATAAATGAGGCTCTTGGATAGTCTTCGAACTGATAATAGGACTAAAATGAGGAAAATTGGAAAAAAAATATGGCCTAACCCTAACCTGTTGCCCATGTTACGTTCCGATGTCCGCCATCTTGGTTCGCATACTTCGGGAGCACCGAAAAATTTGTTATTGAGTTAGGTTAGGATATTCATATTAATTTTGGTGGAGAACAAAGGCGATAGATAAGACGGTTTAACTATCGCAAATCAAAGCCTCTTTTACTGCAACTAGTTAATTGATCCAGAAGCTCCTTCAATTGAGCAATGGTTTCAAATCGTAGATTGAAAAATATTTTGTAATTTTCAACCTTTATCAGAGGGTATATATAACTATCATAAGTTTGAATAAAATCTCAAGTAAGATAAAGAATCTAATTTTACGATGTTACGTATGGCCGCCCTTAACGAATGCGGGAACCTATGCGAAGCGGTGTCCCCATTCTGAGTAGATAAAATTAAGATTTTGTAATAGGAAATGAAAATTCGTTCAATATTGTATTACCTATAAGTACAAAAACGCGATACAAGTACTTTTGCAAGTCTTGTAATACACACGCGGACATGATTATACTTTGTAATGGTTGTATTTGATGACCAAATACATGTAGAATTGTAGAACTAGTGCGAGTGGCAGAGGCCCAGAGGCCTATTTTATTCCGATTTTCATTATTCTAGTTCTATTTCGAGTTCGGAGACTGTCTGTGTTAGCCAAGTGAATATACCCCATGCCCGTAGGTTTCAGTTCCTTCACAGAACTTGATGTAAAATAGGCGAACAAAATTAGTTACCTCCATGTTGGTACACAAAATTCTGGAACGCTCTGCATAATAATACTACACATATTAATATATTTGAATTTCCATATTTCTGTGCGCATTTCAGTCATCTTAATTAGATTTAATATGTATCACCGGCTTCTTTTCCCTCAAAATGAAATATTTAATATTTTCGGATTAGGTGAAAATATTGCGTGATTTTGAATGACGCACTGTTTGTTTATCTTCGCAATCCAAAGACTTTAACCCAAAACGGCGAACTTGGCAATGTTGTTTTAAATGAGGAAACGCATTTTTTTGAAATTGATTACTGCTTAGATATATATCATATATTGCTTCGTGGCCTATGATTTGACCAATCAGACCAGTGCCCGTTTTGTGATATTTTTAAATACAAATTTGTCAAAATTTCAATATTCGTCATTTGAAAGATTTGGTATCAGTGAAGTCTTTAGTAGTCACTGGTGTAAGCTTTTATATCTATAGTATTTCTAAGACAAGCAAACACATTTTTGCAAAGATTTTATGTCTTATATTGGTTCTAAGGAATATTACTGGTTCCGCGGGCTCAGCTCGTGAAGCCCTGAAGATAATTACCCTGCGAATGATACTTTATCCCAAGCCTTTAGACTTGCCAACATAGTTAGGCCAACGCTTTACAACAACAAGAAAATTAACAACAACTTGGCACAATAATCCACATATGTCTTTGTGTCTAACAATTTTAAATCTCGACCACTTTTCAAACGTCTAGCCAAACCCACAATATCTAATTTACACATCTGTTATCACATATTGTTCGAGGTGGTGACGATTTCAACAGTTATTCACTGATAAATAAGAAACCTCCCAGAAATATTAAGTGTTCCCAAGAGTGTCTGTCAATAACTTTGATTACTTTTCTATAAGGTGGGGCCGTTAAACGCATTTCTGTCTGTGTATTTCTCTCAAACATTTATTAATATAAAATTGGTTTTGTTGACATGTATAATTTTTGAATAGATATATCTTTCAGCGAAATTTGATTTGTATATTGCGTCACTTGTATTGGTCCATTTCTTAAATTATGAATTGAATCGAATATTATTTCGAATTGAATTTTAAATCAAATGCTTGGAAGATACGTAATTGTATTGACTGTTTTATTGTAATTGGTCCTTTTACACATACATTACCGAAAAGATCGAATCGATCACTCAGACAGTTCGCCGAGTGTTCACACAGTAAGAAACATGAACTTTTTCAAGATTACATATAATTTTTGCATTTTTTTGCATATCATTTTTTGTGCGGTGGATTTATTTATTTATATATATATATTTCAGGTCCAACTCTTCTCTGCAACAGCGAAGCAAAATGGAAACTTCCTGAGGGATCTTGTCAATGTTTACCGGGATATCAACCTAATGAAGAAATGACTGAATGCATCGGTATGTTTGCATTTTTTATCAGATTTTTTTCGATGGTGAGAGAATAAAAAAATAGAATATCCCACAATTGTTAGTTTTTGTGGGCTCTGAATCAATAGTACGCCACTTTTTTCGTTTTTTATTTTATTTTTAATTTCCTATGCTGGCTAATGAAGATATGACTGGATGCACTGGGAATAATTAATTTCGTATGAAATATTTTTTGGGTCTCCCGAAGTATGCGAATGTAATATGTGTACTAGGTTAGGGTTAGGCCATAATTTTAGGTATAAATACTACGGGAGGCTCTTGGCTAGTCTTCGAACTGATAATAGGACTAAAATAGGGAAAATTGGAAAAAAATTATCGCCTAACCCTAACCTGTTACCCATGTTACGTTCCGATGTCCGCCATCTTGGTTCGCTCCGCCATCTTGGTTCGCATACTTCGGGAGCACCTATTTTTTATGTGTGTGTGTGTTTTGGGGGGTCGAAACTGATAAAATAGCTTGTCTAACTCACATAGGTTCATTTTTGTTGGTTCGCAATCATGTTTTTTTTTTTAAATAGGGGTTTCTAATGCATCAGGTAACGGTAAAAAATTAAATCTAATCGATGCAGCTGACGTGCGTTCGCGAGATGTTCCTTTTCAAACAAAATGTTATACAATACATTACAAGCAGACTTCCAATCATACATATCCATATCTATAACTAATTTATAAGGCGCGACTGTGGGCATGGGCTGAAATACCTAAACAATAAGCCATGAATCTCTAACTTAACATAGTTTGCCAAAATTTGTAACCACAGAAGCATAGCCCAGCATTTTATTTACTGCGTTTCAATCACATGCCGGAAGTTAAAAAAAATTTCTTGTCATATTTTTATATTTTCATTTAACACTGCCGACCTGTTGAAAAAACCACCGATCCAATTTCACTAATTAACGAAGCCGGCGTGAGATTGAAATTATTATTTTTCTAAATTTTCTGCGGTGGATTAGTGGTTTCAGTACTAATAAAGTTAGATCTAACTAGGTTGGCATTACATAATTTAAAAACTAGGGTTCGAACCCCGTTCAGGCCGCTTTGTCCAATTTTTTAAAAATTTGGTCGTCAAAACGGAAATATTCTAGTTCACTTACAAATATACAGTAGCACTATTCGCCGCGAATACGTTTAACACTCATACTTTATAGGTCTAATAGTTGGAAAGTTGTGCCTAGTTATTTTGCATCAAAGACTAAAAACCCCAAGTTGAAAACGTGTGTCATCCATCCAAGAGCGTGAATTTTTCTTGTCTGGGGGGTAGCATTGTGGGCCCCCTTCAATTGCTCTGTGGCCCTCGATTGGGAACCGCAGGTATAGAGTATATATGTTCATAGAGAAAGAGTAAAAAGAATCGCAATTTCTATTATTATATTTCCGGTATAAGTTTTGCATCATTAAAAATGCATATAGTTTGACTTTTTCATTATTTATTCAGCTAAAACGTGCGTTTTTGTTTATATCTCATCAGCGAATGCTCTTCGCAGTTCACAATGTTTTCGTTTATACAGACTTGCGTAACATTGATTGAAAATAAGTCAAAAATAAGGATTTATTAGAACTTCCATAAAGCCTTAAAATGTTGTAAAGATGAGGGGGGGGGGGGCATATCAGTTTTTTTTTATTCCCGAATACATTATTAAGTGCGCCGTGTTTCGACTTACGGTAGACGACTGTCTCGGTAATTGTGTTTAAAATTAAAATGTACATTGGCATGTTTCCAGCGATGTTATTAAAAACGGCGATTTCATGGTGATTTCCGTCATTTTTAAATTTAAAAATTATATTCAAACGTTGATTTTAATTTTTAACATATTTTGTTTAAATTAATCCAGTGAACTAAAATTTATAAATAGTTGCCAAGTTAGGTCACAACAGCTAGCTAATATCATAAGAGCCCAAACGTAAGAGTCTTACAGGTCTAAAAAGCGTTTCAAACTACGAAAAATTGCTATGTTATGATACAGAAAAAGACATTGTTTTACATTAATATTAAAATATGCGGGCGTAGCCAGCTTTGCTTGGAGTGAAAATGTTACAAAAAGCCTCAAAAATTTTTAAAAAATATTATTGTAGCTACTATGCCTGCTTGTGTGAAGCCTTTTCGGTTCTCCTGTAGAATGTCTAACAGGTTAGGGCATAATTTTATTCTGATTTTCCTTTTTCTAGTTCCGTTACGAGTTTGGGGACTGTCTGTGTTAGCCAAGTGAATATACCCCCCGCCCATAGGTTTCAGTCCTTTTACACAACTTGATGTAAAGTAGGCAAACAAAATTAGTTACCTTCATATTGGTACACACACTTCTGGAGCGCCGGCTTTTTTTTAGCAAAGCTTGAACACTCCAAAAATATATCCCAAGCACTCTTATTATTCACAAGACGATACTTAACCTTATACCGGCTTTTTTGAAAGAATCGCCGCCATAAATATAATAATACCAGCTACACACTTGAAAAGGATTTGCTGAAATGAATCCTGATTTGTAATTTTATGTTGATTGTTGGTCTGAAATAACATACTCGGTTGAATTGTTGAGAGATATTGGTAGCAGATATCGTTTTTGCAAAAGTACATTTTCGTAAATTTCACGCAAAAGAATTCTTGCCAAAATATGTTCATACAATTATACTTTACTCGTAAAATTTATTTGTCGGAGGATTCTAGAATAGCAGAGGTAAAAATGAACCGATAATTCATAAATTCTATTTTCTGAATTTTCAAGACAGCGGCGCAAGAAATTTTTGCGAGAAATTTTCGGTATACGACTAACTTCAGACATTTACGTAAATTGTTATTTGTACCGTTTTTTTTTCAAGTAAGAATGAATTCTCGCAAAATTATGTTCGCACAAATGGAAATTAACCAAAATACATTTGCATAAAAATCCATTTGGAAAATGACTTTTATATGCTTGACTGTATATGTAGGATGTCGAAAAAGTTTCGCGAGATTTTGTAGTATTAATAATTTCTTTGTCTTTGTTTATTAATAATTCTTATTGTGCTTGTAGTTCTTATTTATCACACAATAAAATTTATTTAAACTTACAATTGTTATTACTATCAAATCAGGCAACATTTTTGGACACCCTGTATTGTTCAGTAGAACGTTTCTGACTAATGATTCTTCCTTGTTGCTATATGTTAGTGTAGGACTTCTCAACCAGTGTGACATTGAGGGAATTTTGTCGTTTAGTCGTTCAAACTTACAGTTGTTATCATTATAAAATCAGGCAACATTTTTGGACACCCTGTATAGTTGTGTAGCATGTTTCTGACTGATGCTTCTTACTTACATATTACATATTAGTACTTACATATTATCGCAGGACTTCCCAACTAGTGACACATTGGGGGAAATATCACAAATATCATACAATAAAATTCTTTCAAACTCACAATTGTTATACTATAAAATCGGACGATATTTTTAATTGTTATTGGGGTTTTCTGTGTTTCTGTGGGGTAATTATATTTTCTTGTTTTTTCCAAGTTGGGGGTGTGCAACATTTCTGTCCGTGGGCCATATAACGAACTTCAGACATTTAGCTGGGCCACACAAAAAGTTTGTGACAAAGTGCCAAGAGAAATCTAACGTTTCATTCGCGTACTCACTGATATATTATCTACTTACATAGCGCTGATTGGCAATTGTATTGTCGTTATCAAATTTCGTACTAAGTCGTATTAATTGAGTTTCTTTCCCACAGAGATGTTTTCGGTTTGGTGTAATTTTACCGCCTGCCAACCTGGCGCCTTTATAAATGATATTATACACCCAGATGCGTAGTTTACTCGTCTTTTGATTGAAAAACAACAAATAGAAAGCGCCACATGTTTTTTAACGGCGATTTCGTAGAATACCACAAAATTTGTTAATAGCCTTATGTGCAGGAGATCGTTCACCATATATCCATCGCTATTCCTAACCTGCTGGCTAAATGCAAGGCCAATAACCCTTTCAGAATGAGGCCATTCAAATGGCAATTGGGATAATGTATCTCTATCCCTGCTGTCTATACGGGAAATGATATTTTACGCCCAGTAGTTTACTCGCCTTTTGATTGCAAAACAGCAAACAAAAAGCGACACACGATTCTCAAACGACGATTTTGTAGATTTCATTAAATTTCGTTGATATTTGAGACGCGATTCGAATGGCAATTTGGACAATGTATTCATCCCTATCCTTGTTGTCTATGCAAAAAATGATATTTTACACCCATATGCAACAACAACAGATGAAAAAGCGCGACACGGTTTTTAACGATGATTTTGTAGATTCTATGACATAAACTTCGTTGATATTAGGGTAGTATTTTTAAATGGTACGCAACGGTCATTCAAATGACGATTGGAACCATATATCGAAACCTAATGATATTTGACAGCCGTATGAAGGGACGATTCCAATGACGATTGGGACTATATATATCCATACCTATTACTGACATACTATCTATATGATTTCCCAATATTGAAGAGGTGGTTCGAATGACAATTGATGCAATTTGCTCGTCCCCAACCCTGCTGAATATATGGCAAATTCACATGTATTTTGTAGATTAGGGTGATGTAAAAAAAGAAAATAAAAAAAAAGAGTTTTGCTGTAACATGTCCTTCGACCGATCACGCTAGCTGTTGCGATCTAACTCGGCAATTAGGAATTTCTCAACATCTCTCTTTGAAAATCCCTTTGATAATAGAAATGACAAAAAATTAAAATTTTGTATATTTCCTAATTTATGTTCTAAATTATACTCGCTGTGAGTTTATATTTAGCCATGAACTGAGACTACTTACATTCCACCTGATTATAATAAGTGTTCCCAATTTTTGAAACCATCAATTAAGTATAATTTCAAAGAAAATGGATAATTAAACACTGATATACCGCATAACTACATTGTTTTTGTCGTTCAAAATATACCAACTTAATTATATCGAAAGATTAACCGAACAAAATGGTTTTA